ATTGCAATATTTTTTTAACGAATTTTAGAATATGATAGAATATTTATGTGCATTAATATAGTAAAAAAAACCATGTGTATAAATAAAATAAAAAAGCAATTTATATTCGTATAAATATTTCTATCTGTATTTATATTTAGTTAAAAAGGTTTACTAGGCAACTCTGGAAAGCGCTACTATAGCGATTAAGAAATATTGGTCATATTCATCATTCAATGGAGAAGATTCTTACTTGACATTATAATTCATCACAATGACTTATAGAAAACTGTTGTAGAACTTATAGAATTCTGATTGTCAAAAATAAATAAATAAAAAAAATACGCGTGTTATCTATGGACATGTGTGGCAGTCTTTGCTTCAAGATTTTTCAATACATTATTATTTATAATAGTAAAATCTTAAAATGTAACGCTGTGACTGTTTCTTCAGTAGCATTACTGAGCTACGCTTTGATCCGTATAACAGGGCCACTTTTGCGCAAAACACTTTTGGAGCGAAAAGTTAAAAATAAATACGGTATTCTTTATAACGTATATGTATATATATGTATATAGTTTGTCAGGCACTTGAGTGATTGTAACCCCCCGCCGGCCATTGTTGTGGTGTAGCTATTTTACGATTAGTGATTGCTGGCTAGCCCTTCATTGAAAGCTTCAGTCATCTGCGGCTCTACGTGCTTATGAATTATTCCTTGTTAATTACTAAGGGTATGTTGTTAACAAGCAATGACTGCAATCGGTCAATGTGCCTCTGTGCATATTTGAACGGTAATTCATTAATATTGGAGAACAATTGGCAAATCGAATACCTTTCTGAGACATGTCATACATTCTAAACAAAGTATTAACTCTGACTTTACTAAAACTGTCTATTTTAAAACACACACACACACACACATACACATATATATATATATATATATATATATATATATATATATTATATATAAATATAATTATCTTCAAAGCAATATGTGATATACAAGTCAAGCTCTATAAAATTTCCACTGATCTCTGTAACATTTTGCCTCGGGTGCTTTTTTATGAAATATAGGTATTCTCTTTATGTTACATAGTTTTAGAAGATTAGTGACATTAACTTCTGCTATCTATACCCATGTTATACTTTAAATTATGTGTACTCAATGTCAAATTTTTACTTTTATACAATAAGCATATAAAAGTATATATGAATCTTTATTCAAACCAATTTGGTGCTATGGAATACAATTGTGGGGCAGTGCTCATAAGACTATATAGAAATAATACACAAATTCCAGAACAAATTTTGAAAATTGCCTTATGAGTACCAAAATCCCAACTGGTTGATTCATGTTGACACGAATAAGCCTACCATAAATGATGTAATGACAAAAACAGCACATAAATATAGAAATAAGCTCATCAGTCACCCAAATTCATTAGCAAACTTCTTGATAACAAAACTATCCAAGAAGATTCAAAAGAAAAGCGCCACTGCATTTAAGTCAACAACTCTTCTGATTAAATATTGAAATAACTTAGTCATTATTAAAAGTAATTATTTTATAAGTAAATAGTTAAAATTATATAATTATCAATAAAATATTGTGAACATTATATCGAATGGGAAAAACTATTGAGTTGTTTTTCCAACATGCCCCTTTAGTCAACAATGCCCAATGCAACAATTGTAAATTCCACAAATTATTTAAATGTTCTTAACTGGACAGTTGTAAATAAGAGAATAAAAAAAAATTCTGCTGACGATGATATAAGATGATATGACGAAACGTCTGGTATAAATTTATTTTAAATGTGCCATTTTTATTAGATGTACTCAAGATTTTAGACCCATACTTTCACATCACAATTAAACATATAGACATCAAACTATGTTTAGTAAAATTCGCAGTTTTTTTATCATTTTAGTAATGTTTTTTTTGCATTTTTATCTGTTTGTCATCTGGTCTTTTGCACTCCCTATGTGGCGTAAAAATAGACGCTCAGAAGGCAAAAATATCTACTATTTAATTTTTAATTTTAAAGCGATTTTTAGAAATAATTCAATTAATGCGATGCAATTCTAATAATTCAATTATTAGGTTAAATGTATGTGTAGAACGAGTCCATTTTAATAAAATAAAAAAAATATTAGGTTCAACAAAAAATTAATAAAAATAAATAATAATATAAATATGTATGTTTAAACATAACAAACAAAAAAAATCAAATCTTATTACTAACATAAATCTTGCTTTAGTAAGCATTTCTGTTACAATTTCTGTTTGAAATACATATTTTATGGGCACATTTTTTACGTATTAATTTATTTTACCTCATTGTTGCTATATTCTTATAGTTTGATCCTTATCAATGTGAACGTTCAGGTGGTTTTTTACCCCAAATATGTGTATGCTATTCTGAACGTCATATAAAAAAAACTTTCGAATTGTACATAAAAGTTACGATACCTATAAATTAACAAAATCCTGATGTCACTAATTCTATAATTTCTCAATATAGACTATTATATATTCATACAATTTTGTGCAAAATAAATTTGTTCTTACATATATCATATATCATTGTGTAAACGTATTATTGTCTCTAAATATTCTGATATTTCTTTACAAGATCGATCGGGTCTTTTATCTTGAGATAATATCTGTTTTGTTAGAAGTCTTCGCTGTATTAAATACCAATTTATAAATAATAAAATCTTCTTGAATCACGCGCCTGACTAGATTTCATAAATATTTCATTATTCCTCATATTCTGCGGTTACTCAATGTTTGCTTCGACTTCATGCAGTTCCATTTGATAATGGGAGACACACTCTTATAGAATGATTAAATCAATAACACATCAATCACATGGAATGAAAAGATGACACCCTCCATGCATTAACTGTTCAGAAAATGATTGATTTATTGTCGAATAGTCAGCTATTTTAAGTGCAATAATGCAGTGTTCAGTTTTCCATGTTACAGAAGCAGAAATAATGTGGGATAATTGTGCGTAATTTTCATTTCTATTTCCTAATAAAATATTTTTTCATAGTAAGAGCGATATTAAAATACATTGTATGCAAAATGTACTTGAATATTCATCGTTGGCTATAATATAGATTCACAATATGTAAAATGACGGATTAGTGAATAAACAGATTTGCGTATTGATGATTCAATAGATTTTGAAAAATTATTATCTAGGACTCAAGTTTATCATAGCATTAGAATTGAAATATAATCTTTATGATATCTTAACCAAATAGCGAGATGAACCTTTTAAACAGTAAAATAATACTGTATGAGCTCTTTTAGTACCTTAGTGTTTCTGCAAGGCAACTCAGCAGTTGACTCCTCTCTTTCTGGTGAGATTATATTAGATATGTAATTTTTATGTGGATATGTTGGCAGTAATGCACCGAAATTTTCAGTAATATCAGGTGAATGTTTGATATGACTACTATTTGATATCACTGCTATTTGATATCAGGCTGTTCAAGGCACGTGATTTCTTCTTCCTTACCACGAAGCCATAGCCAGCTTACGATTTGAAGGTGGAATTTTGTTTTCTTACATATAATAAAACTAATAAAATAAAATATAAAGTAATAAAATTGATAATAATAATATGCATCCGATATGCATGTTTTTGAAATGCAATGCGATTTTAAACAATATATGGTATATAGAGCCGAATAAAGAACAAACTGGATAACAATGAAATATAATCTTTTACCTCCAGCAAGTTTCTATATATTCTATGTAATAAAATTTTGTATTACAGCCAACCTTCTTATAACGCGATACCCTTATAAAATAAATATATAATTCTCAGAATGCATTCTTTCCTAAAAACTCCAATAATATCCAATAAATCCAATTATTATTTTTGATAATTGGCTTATCAGAGCATCTTAACTAGTTTTAGACAGTATATTTCTCTTCTATTTAAAAATAAAATCATCAGAAAATCATCATGTGGAGCGCTCATTGAACTGTGCGCACAGTTTTTGTCGGAATCGGGGCAAAATATTGTTTTCTCTTCTACTCACAACTATTTATTTTATGCCACAAAATATTCTACAAATCCTAAAATATGAAAATATATTTTGTTTCTATATTCTGAACAATTGCAGTTTTGTACACATGACGAGTATTAAGGTGACCATGTTTTTTTAAGTCAAAACCGGGACGGTAATTTTTAGTTATGGTAATCCAGGCCAATATGGGAGGGGGGGGGTTTGTATATTAGCAACAAAACTTATGTTTTTAAATAGCAAATACTATTTAAGAATGCAACAAAAATCAAACCGGGACGTATGGTCACCTTACGAGTATACTCATCTATACACAAAATTCTGCCACTTTTTCATGATGAAAATTCTCACCAATCACAGTTAATTTATTGAATTACCACAGTGTTGAAACAGACTTTCTACGTTAGTTTTAAATTTATTGGTTTGGGACATAAACCCTAAAAGAAATTTGGGATTTATGTAATATAAAAACAGATGCAAGACATAAATTATACTTATGTGCTTTATTACTATGATGATTCATTACTACAGTGATTTTATTTTACTATTACTAGTAAAATGAAATTACTTAGGAGGCGTCAATTAAACACCTGATAGTGTTTTAGGGATTTTTGAAACCCCCTTACTCTTGGTGATGAGTGGTGATATTTAAAATTGAACAGCCTCTTTCACCCAACATCACGTGTAGTTTTAGTACTAAAAATTTGAGATTTTTCTAAAAATTTTGTAATTTGTTTGAATTTCAGGTAAAAAATAAATATACATGATATTTTACTAGACACTTTCTTATGATTTTTTTTTGTCAAAACCTTCTTCCTTTGTAAGCTTTAAGTAACAAGTAAAAGGCCATTTATGTGGTAGCACGTAAAAGTTTAGATTTGTCACAATTTTTTTTTTGAAATATATGTAATGAGTATATAGACAATGACTATAAAAGAATAATATATAAATTGATATTATTTAATAATTACCTAATTGTTTAACCCTGCACGGCAGATAGGCGTGTGTGCCCAGTTGCGTTGTAATATTTATCGGCCCGGGACCCCCGTCCAGATACGCCCCGGTGTACAGGCCCGAGCTCAATTTTGACAAGCGTTCGATTGCCATGTCACGAGCATCCACTGAAAAATAGAAATATATTAATAACAAATACATCAATAATTTTGCAACCTCCGATTCATATTAATATGATATTTGTGTTATGTACGATTTTTATTCATCGAATCCGGTGTTCGGTATCATTGCATATTTTAACGAATAACGATTTCGATAAGGTTTAGTGGTTTTAAACACCTATATATTCTGCAGTCGTGTTTGAATTTATTTTGCATATATAAATGAATTTTATATTTCCATGTAGCGTATGGCAGAAATACAATATACATAATTTTTCATATATATGCTTTTCCATTAATCTATTTATCGGATTTCATTGCAATCACCACAAATGCGGATAAATTATTGGAAAAGAACACTTTAGTCCATTTTAAATTGCGATAATTATATTGATATAATGAAAATGACCATTTATTCTATTATAATCAAAATTATTTTAATTTTCATACGTAATAATTAACAATCCTATCTATATTACTGTAAATGGTTTTTGATGGTGTGAAACAAATTACTGAACAGTGATATTCAATATATTCGAGTCAAAAGTTGAATGCATTAGTAACTAGTTTGTTTAAATGCATTAGTAACTGTTTGTTGACTGCATTAGCAATTTGTTTAACGCTTTAAAGCACAAATTGGTTGAACTTCTTGATCTGTAAATAATATTTATGAGTGTATTATAAGTTGCACATAATGTTAGAAACTATTAGGAATTTTTAATACAACATTGCCAATGTGCCTGTTATATGCGACAAACAGTTATTGATATAAAACTATGATATTTTTAATTACGAAGATATGGCCTATCTCAATTTAAAACGATTTCTAAATGATTACTTCTCAGTTTTCCAAATCGGTTCAGGATCTGTTGCAATAGTTTCGTCGAGAAATTAAGAACTTTTCGGTTAATCCTAAAGAAATGCTCAATTGGCTGTCCCAACTCTTTCTTAACCAAAACCTACTCTTTCAGACCAATTCTGCAGTAACATAGCCGATAACATAGTGTTGTTATGACAACGCTATCATATCCTTCCTTCTTGGTACTAAAAATTGTGAAAATGCTATTTTCTGCACGATTAGGCGTTTATATATGAAACTGTATGTTATAAATGCGCATTACAAAGATAAAATCCTTTCTTACTTTCTTGGTTTGATTCTTTCTGGGTTTGTTTATGTGTAAAATAAGCCTGATCGTACAGCATATAGATAGCATTTTCACAATTTTTAGTACCAAGAAAGAAAGATAAGATAGTGTTGACACAACAACGCTATGTTATCGGCTTTGTTACCGCAGAATTGGCCCCTTTATCGAGTTTTGTCATTTTTCCAAAGGATTACAAATCGAGTTTCAAACCCGATCAATTTTGGCTTACGAAAACGTCAACAATTGATCAAATATTAGCACACACATTTGCTATTTCCAAATTTTCTGTCAACCGATTCAGAATGACATCTTTGACGAAACGTCGAGAAAACATAAAATTAGCAAATCAGATTTTATTGACGGCAACATAGACTTCTTGGAATCGTTAATAATGAAAATAACTTTTTGATATTAGTGCTTGTCCCTTTTTTATGTTAGTAATATATTTACATTGAATGTTTTTTAAATCTATAATGAATAGTTTTTTATATTTGTTCAATAGCATCAGAAAACTAACTATTAAACAAATACGTCCATACTTTTTTAATCAATTTTTTAAATTTAATTAACAATTTCTGGGTTTAATTAAAGATGAGTTATCAGCCGTAAATAATCCAATTTCATAACCCTTTTTGTTGGGCCGGGTTTAAAACCGATGTAATATACGAGTTACAAAAATGACAATTGTAAAAACGATACAACTATAGGCGTGTCCTTTACGTTTATTAAATGAAAATCTACAATTTTAATTAAACTGCGCGGTCAAAAATATACTTGTAAGAATAATATAAACAAAAGTTTGATGCAATTTGTCCGTATTTTCTTTGAGAAAATAAAAGTTTTTGTAATATTCATATCTATATAAGACGGTGTTTTAGTTACTATTATGATTGCATATACAACAATAAAATATTTCTCCCGGAATAAACTGTATTAACCCTTTCCACTCGCGAATTGCGAGATCTATATGTATTTTGCCGCCGGAGCGGCGGCATTCGAGCGAAAAGGGTTAATCCTCTATGAGCCGCGTAGCTTTCAGGTCACGTTTAAAATTTTTCGATATTTTGCCAAATAATTATGATTTCTTTTGGCAGATGACGAATGCATCTTAAATCTATAATGTTGTCTAGATAAACAATATAATTTGCTAGGCTTTTCAACTTGAAATAACATTTTTATACACATAAGTGGGAACAGTATAGGCCGTCGTGACTTTAAAAAAGTTTAAACAGATATTTTGTTTTTGATTTGTATATATATATATTTGGATGTGAAACAAAAAATTGGCCCATAGAGGGTTAATCAATAATGTATTATTTTATAGAAAAGTGTTTAAATCGACAATCTCACGTGTTGATCTGTATAGAATAATATCTATGTAATAGTCAATGTTTCTAGCGTTTAGTTGTAAATTTGATAGGTGATTGGACTCAGTTCAAGATGATGTTGCGAATCTCTAGATGTAGTCTTGTAAAACAAGGCTTTTAATAATTGTAATATAGATATCTCTATATATCCGTTATGTTATTATATCGAGCATATCTGTTCTTTGTAGAGAAAAAGTTTCAGTATGCGCATCGCTAGAATATAAAAGCATTATTCCGTAAAGAAATATTTTAGGAAAAACATGCTTTGAGTCTCGCTTCTGCGACAACAAATGCATATTTACGTCCCGGCGTTACATCTAAACGGCGAGCTTTGCTCACAGGCAAGGCAATATCAATTGTGCGCTCCGAAAAGGAGCAAAAAGCAAAAAAGATAAAGAAAAAACGAAAAATATTATACCAAATTAATGTAGCGTAGTTGATGCGCGTTTTATTGCCAAGCGACCGCAGCGTAGAGCATTGAGCATAGAGTCATAGAGTATAGAGCATAGAGCCGCCCTGCACGCCGACTAGCCGTTTTATAGAGGTGGTGTTTCCCAAATTCTGCATCCATTACCGACGTTCGTTTTATTTATCCATTACTTTTTTTATTTACATTTAAATACACATGCTTTCATGTACATATTTCCGTTTTATTATACGAAATTTACATTTTTGTAATTTTTACTGCTTACCTCATATTGCATTTTGACATTTAATTATTGAATATTCACCGAAGCACAAAGACCCTATTTGAATTTAAGTAATTACACTGTCTGTACCACATGGACTACAACACAACATATAATACGTATCAAACAAGCAATTATCGAACTATGTTTATTAAAATAACCAGTCAATTTCTAATTATGAAAAAGTATTTATTTACTGTTTTTCAAAAATTTGCCATCCCATGTGCGGGGTAAAATAGTACGTCCAGGGTGCAATCGAATGTCTTGTTTTAATTTTTACAAATAATAGGTACAATATTCAACCAATGCTAAATAAATATTTCATTTAGTAATTATATATTTAATATGGTGGGGCGTAGCACAAAGACCCAATGTGAATTTAAGTAATTACACTGTCTAAATCACTTGGACTACATCACAACATTTACCGCGTATCAAACATGCAACTACCGAACTATTTTTATTAAAATACCCAGTCAATTCTTAATTATGAAAATGTGTTTTTAAAAAATTTGTCACCTGGTCTTATTTACCAAACAGGTCGAATGTCTAGTTTTTAATTTTCACGAAACAAAAGTTACAATGTTCGATCAATCCTAAATAAATATTTTTGGGTACATTTGCAATAGAGATAACACTGTATATAACTTCGATGTAGTATTTTGTCAAAAATATTCATCTGCAGAATTGGAATAACTAATTTAATTCCTCTTGTAAACTTGCCCTTTTTAACTTATTTTACTTTTTTACACACCCTCACTAGCCGTTTTATTGAGGTGGTGTTTCGCAATTTCTGCATCCATTACCGACGTTCGTTTTATTTATCCATCGCTTTTTATTTAAAATCAAATACACATGCTTCTATGTATATTGTTCCGTTTTATCATAAGAAATTGTTTTTTTGTTTTTTTTGCTGCTTACTTCATATTGAATCTTGACATTTTTATTGAATATTCAATAAAGAGGTTATACATCTTTTTTCCTCTACTTTCAAATAATGTTGTTAAAAAGTCCTTAACTTGTTTTTAAAATATCGATGTTGAACCATTATACCCTAGCACCTTTAGTCTCCTTACCTGATAACATTTGGCTTTCGTACATGCGTTTCCTTAACTGTTTGAATCATTTTTCGCAGCCTCATATTTTACACAGAGATACAAGTATTTGTCGTTGTTACATGTACATTTATTGGTGAATTCTAATGAAAAAATATTTGAAATTTGCAAGTAACTAACACTAATGTGAAGTTAGTAGGTAAAATACCATATATACATATATCATTATAGAGATTTAAATCTGTAGAGCTCATCAATATTGTCGAAAAGGCTTTGCACTCGAAAGGCTTTGACATAAACATTGATAGTAAAAAGATGTGTTTGCTTTACGTTTTACCACAAAATAGGTTCATGATATGCTGAAAGTTGAATACATTATTTTTGATATGTTTTATAATAACAAAATTTATTTTTGAACTCTGAACAAATGCGCAAAATTTTGTTATATAATTAATATAATATATAATTTATTAATAATTTATAAAATTTGTTACATAATTAAAATGAATATTGAACTTGAACCTTTTTATAATACAAAATTTACATAGTATTAGGGAAAATTATATGAGCAATAAACGCTTGGCATAAACTAAATATAGTGAATTTATTTTAACATAATAAATTATTTTAATTATCAGTTATTAATAGATATATTTCAGCCTTTGATAGATCGATTTATCTATTCATAAATAATATCTCATATAAAAGATATCTACTGGACACTTACTCATACTGATATGCATCAAATAA